ACAGCCTGGAAAATACAGCCCGGGAAATACAGCCCGGAAAATACAGCCTGGAAAACACAGCCTGGAAAACACAGCCTGGAAAAACACAGCCTGGAAAACACAGCCCGGAAAATACAGCCTGGAAAATACAGACTGGAAAATACAGCCCGGAAAATACAGCCTGGAAAAACACAGCCCAGCAAACACAAACACAAACACAGCCCGCGGGGGGATCCTCCCTGCCCGGGGAGAGGATGCACAGCCCCAAATCTGTGCTGAGACAGCGCCCTGCACCCCTGAGCACCCCGAGACTCACGTGTAGAGCGGCTGGAGCTGCAGGTGCGACGTCTTCTGGGGCGCCTGGTACCCGTAGGAGTCAAAGCCGCCGATGAAGTCAACTGGGGAGAGCCGGGAGAGCGTGGGGTGAGCCGGGAAGGGCAGCAGGGAGATTCCCGGCACCCCGTGGCATGGGGACATCCCGAGCTGCGGCTGCATCCCAGCAAAACGCGACACCCCAGGGAAATGCGACCTCTCAGTGGGCAATTGGGAACTCCTCAGAGCCCCTCCAGAGCATGAAGGGGCTCCAGGAGAGCTGGAGAGGGACTGGAGACAAGGATGGAGGGACAGGACCCAGGGAATGGCTCCCACTGCCAGAGGGCAGGGCTGGATGGGAGATTGGGAATTGGGAATTGTTCCCTGGCAGGGTGGGCAGGGGCTGGGCTGGAATTCCCAGAGCAGCTGTGGCTGCCCCTGGATCCCTGGCAGTGCCCAAGGCCAGGCTGGACACTGGGAGCACCTGGGACAGTGGGAGGGGTCCCTGCCATGGCTGGGGTGGGATGGGATTTAAGGTCCTTTCCCACCCAAACCATCCCGTGATTCGGTGATCCTGAATCACCACAGCATCCCGAGGAATCCTGATGCTGCATCCCCAAGGGAATAAATCAGAACCACAAACTGGGTCAGATCAGAAGGGACCGCTGCTGGTCACCCAGCCCAACCCCCGCTCAGTCCGGGCCCCCCGGGGCACCGGGAATTCTGTCCCGGCTGCTTTGGATCCCCCAGGGAAGGAGGCTCCCCAGGCTCTCTGGGCAGCCTGGAACGGAGCCTCTGGGGAGACACAGCCCCACCCCGGCCAGGGCCTCGCCCAGCCGACAGCAGCCGGGACGGCGGCAGCATCCCGGGAAACACGGCAGCATCCCGGGAAACACCGCAGCGTCCCGGGAAACACCGCACCGTCCCGGGAAACCACGGCAGCACCCCGGGAAACACCACAGCATCCCGGGAAACACCGCAGCGTCCCGGGAAACACCGCAGCGTCCCGGGAAACACCGCACCGTCCCGGGAAACACCGCACCGTCCCGGGAAACACCGCAGCATCCCGGGAAACACCGCAGCATCCCGGGAAACACCGCAGCGTCCCGGGAAACACCGCACCGTCCCGGGAAACACCGCAGCATCCCGGGAAACCACGGCAGCGTCCCGGGAAACAGCGGTGAGATCGGAGGGAAGGGTCCGGAGCTGCTTCCCTGACCCGGCGGTTCCGTTCTGTTCTCCTCTCGCAGCCCCCCGGGCAGAGGGCGGGGTTCCCTCCCTGCCCCCCGAGTGGGCATTCCGGGAGAATTCCGGGAGAATTCCGGGAGAATTCCGGGAGAATTCCGGGAGAATTCCGGGGACTCAGCGCTCCGTTGGGGCTGTCACCTCGGGGCTTGCAGGCACCACCGATCAGCTTTCACCGCTCGGAGGCTCATCCCGCCCCCAGCCCCTCACCCGAGCGGTGCCGGGGCAGCTCTGGGGCGCCCTGGGGTGCCCTGGGTGGCTGTGGGTACCCAACTTCTCCCGGATCACCCCGTGTTTCCCCAGACCTGACCCCTCTCCCTGGCACAGGGATGGACTCCAGGTGCAGCCAGGCTGGGAAATCCAAGCTTGGCAGGATCCCCAGCACCACCCAGCTCCCCAAATCCCACACTGGGGTGGGTTATCCACGGGTGCCCAAGAGCTGAGGGATCCAGGGGAGAGCCCCCCTCTCCCGGAATATTTCCCTTCCTGACTCAATATTCCGCCAGCTCTCAATTTTGACACCATCCATCCATTTCCAAATCGAATAAGATATTCCATTAAAAAGATGCATTTGCATCCCGGGCTCAGGCAGCATTAATATTAAAATTGTGTTGGATGGAGGAGTTTGTAGGAGTGCAAACACGCTCCAGAGCCGCCAGCGCCGGATAAATCCTTTTGGAAAGGAGCTGCTCCCGCAGGCAGAGGCCAATTCCCCACGGAGAGGCTTTATGTCCATGGGAAAGGACGGAAAACAGGGGGCTGGGCTGGGCTGGGACCACCCGTGGGTCCGTGGCAGGGGTGGGGTGGGGATCCCGGTGCTGATCCCAGGGCTGATCCCGGGGCTGATCCCAATGCTGATCCCAGTTCTGATCCCAGTGCTGATCCCAGTCCTGATCCCAGTGCTGATCCCAGTGCTGATCCCGATGCTGATCCCAGTTCTGATCCCGGGGCTGATCCCAGTGCTGATCCCGGGGCTGATCCCAGTGCTGATCCCGATGCTGATCCCAGGGCTGATCCCAGTCCTGATCCCGGTGCTGATCCCAGTCCTGATCCCGGTGCTGATCCCGATGCTGATCCCAGGGCTGATCCCAGAGCTGATCCCAGTGCTGATCCCAGGGCTGATCCCAGTGCTGATCCCAGTGCTGATCCCAGGGCTGATCCCAGTGCTGATCCCGGGGCTGATCCCAGGGCTGATCCCAGTCCTGATCCCAGTGCTGATCCCAGGGCTGATCCCAGTCCTGATCCCGGTGCTGATCCCAGGGCTGATCCCGGGGCTGATCCCGGGGATGATCCCAGTGCTGATCCCAGGGCTGATCCCAATGCTGATCCCGGGGCTGATCCCAGCGCTGATCCCAGAGCTGATCCCAGAGCTGATCCCAGTCCTGATCCCGGTGCTGATCCCGGTGCTGATCCCGGGGATGATCCCAGTGCTGATCCCAGGGCTGATCCCAGTGCTGATCCCAGTGCTGATCCCAGAGCTGATCCCAGTGCTGATCCCAGTGCTGATCCCGGTGCTGATCCCAGGGAAGGAGCGAATTTGGGGGGCTGTGGCCCAGCCCTGCTGGGATCTGCCTTGCTGGGAATTATTTCATGTCAGATGAGTTCCTAATGCCCTTGGACAGCCACAGCCTCCAGCACCTGGCTCACCGGGCTGGGGTGGGAGCAGGAAGAGCAGTAAGATTGGATAGAAGTTAGCCTTCACTTTGCCCAGAGTGCTGTTTTCCCCGTTTTGGGGTCAAGACCTGGCAGTGGGGAGGTTGTGGAGACACAGCCCGGGGGACACGGTGTCCCCAAGTTGCTGTGGCTGTCATGGGGGGAGGGAGGTGACAGCTGCCCCGTCACACCCCAGCAGCTCTGCCTCACCAGGGATGGGAAAATGGGGCAAAAACCCAACTCAAGGGATTTCCTCAGCTGCCTGGGACCCGGGCACTGCTTCCCAGACCCTGCTGGGAGCTGCCATCCTGCCCAGGGTGGCACCAGCCGGGACACTGTGCCCCTGTCCCCCCCAGGCCAGGCACTTACAGCTGTCCTCCTCCTCCAGGAACACTTTGCTGACGTAGCAGGCATAGACGAAGCCGAAGAGCTGGGGAAAAACAGAGAGAGGTTAATGGGTCATGGGCAGCACAACGGGCACCGTGCCAGTGGGACATGGCTGGGCGACTGGCAGTGAACTGGGGGCACTGGGAGTGAACTGGGGGGCACTGGGCATGACCTGGGGCAACTGGAAGTGAATTGAGGGCACTGGTGGTGAACTGGGGGCACTGGGAGTGAACTGGGGGGCACTAGGGGTGACCTGGGGGCACTGTGAGTGAACTGGGGGGCACTGGGTGTGACCTGAGGGGACTGGGGGTGAACTGAGGAGACTTGCAGTGACCTGGGGGGCACTAGGGGTGAACTGGGGGGCACTGGGAGTGACCTGGGGGGCACTGGGAGCATCCAGAGCCCATCCCAGCGCTGTTTGGGGTGCAGCAGGGTTGGATGGATTCAGCTGCACAAGGCGGGGGCCCCTGAAGGGGCTGGAGCTGGCACCCCCAGAGGGTGCTGAGCCCCACACAGTGCTGGGAGCCCCTCTGGGGACTCTGATTCCCCTCAAAGCTCTATTTTAGGGAGCTCTGTCCCCGGTGTGACCCATTGCCACCCCACCACAGGGGGTGACAGTCACCAGGGCAGGGGGGCCCTCCCTCCCAGCAGGCAGCACATTCCCAGGGAGCGACTCCTCCATCCCTGCAGCGCCCAGCCCTCAAGCTGACAGGTTCTGGGGTGGTTCATAGCCCGGGCTGCTGGCAGGGCTCTGCCTGCTCCTCTCCGGCTGGCAGAAACGCGTGACGGGGCAGCGCGGCGCCTCTGCTCAGCCCGGCGCCGAGCCCCGCCGTCCCCCTCCGGGCTGGGATGGGGTGAGGAGGGCGCCCTTACCGCCAGGAAGATCTGCGTGGCGCTGCTCACCACCTCGATGTACTGGTAGTCCAGCAGGCAGCCGCTGACCGTGATGACGTGGTGGTCCTCGGGCGCCAGCTTGGAGTTGAGCACCGGCGTCACCAGGCAGCCCGGGCCGTTCTCCATCCACCACGAGCGGTGCAGGGAGGTGTTGAAGGTCATGATGAAGTCTCGGTCCTGCAGCAGGAGGAGGGGGGGAATGGTGGATCCGGGGCTCTTTGCAGGAGGGTTGCACAGAAAATGGGTTTTCCCAAGGCAAGGACGCTCCCCGAGATCAGAGCAGGGCATCTCCCTGACCCCCGGCCCGGGGTTTGGGGCTTCCTCCGCTGCCGGCACCGTGGCCATCCGCTCAGGCAGCACCCAGGTGGCACCCAGGCGACAGGATGGGTGCCACAGAGCGGGCACCAGAGTGGCAGGGAAGGTGTTTGTGATGGTGCCGCCTGCCACCCCAGGGACGGGAGCGTGGCAGCACCCCATCAGCGTGTTCAGGGGTGCAGGGCAGCCCCTGCCGCTTCCCCTGGGCTTTTGGGGTGCCATGTCCTCATCCCACTCCCAGGGAGTCTTGCAGGGTCCCCCTGGAGCACGTCCCCTCCTTGCCAGCCCCTCACAAGCTTTGGGGCTCTGCCTGGGTCCTCTCCAGCAGCTGTGGGGTGACCTTGGGCAGGCAGCAGCCCCCTGCAAGGGAGAATCCTCAGCCCCTGGCTGCCCCTTTCCACCCCACGAGAGCCCCCCGGGCACCTCTGGTGAGCCCCCACCCCATGAGGGTCCCCCTGGCACCTCTGGTGAGCCCCCACCCCATGAGGGTCCCCCTCGTATCCCCGGGGACCCCCCACCCCCCAGAGAGCCCCCCAGCCCCTCCCTGCCCAGCCTGGCTGTGCTGGGGCTGAGCATCCCCCGCAGGAAATCACCGATCTGGAATGAAAAGATTTCCGGTGCTGGGGGCGGCAAAAGCCCCGAAAGGGAGCGGGTGGGTTCGGGTTTGTGAAGCCGAAAGGGAGCGGGTGGGTTCGGGTTCGTGGGGCCGAAAGGGAGCGGGTGGGTTCGGGTTCGTGG